TTTTAAAAAAATTATACTTAAACCATTAAATTCTACGTAAAAAAGTGCTTTGGAAATGTTTTCATAGAAATACAAAATTTTCCATAGCAAAAAAGTTACAGCAATTTGTTAAAAATGCACATTTTTGAAAAACACCCCGTAACTCCGAAACGGTAACAGATATTGATGTGCGGTTTTTACCATCATGTTTTTGATGAAAATTGAGCTCCAGACACCGATATTAGTTTTCGTCTATCTCCTATAGAAAAGGTCGTTTCCATTTAAAAGCGTCGAATTTGACCCACCCTGTACATAATATGTAACTATATTTAAGAAATTTTAAATCATATCCGTCTAAATATTTGAATTGTGTTGTGGTACATAAGCCTAAATATTGCCCACTTAAGCCTAAATATTTTTACTAGCAGACCTTACAGTAGAACACTGTTCTTCTTATTACCTCTTTTAGTGCGAAGTGTACAAGATACACACAACAAGTGTGGTATCAGATTATTCGTAAAAAATGCTTTTTCCAAATATGCTAATGAGCCACCCTCGTTCCATTTAAAAAAAGTATTGAGATATGATTAAAAATATGATTTAGGCATCTTTTAGCCGGCCAGGACAAGACACTAAAAACATTAGACGATCAAATCTATTTTTCCAAGGCTCCTTGATTAAAAATTAGTGTTTTTAACACAGCTATGGCACTGTAGATTGAAATTTAAAATACAATTTGTTTTTGAGCGAATATGTCAAAAGTTGACATAAGATATGTCATTCGATTCAGAGTGTCATTTTCTATCGAATAAAGTCAAAAATACTGAGGGTGCCATTTAAAAATCAAAAGTTGCAGTCATTTCCGGTGAAACAGGAAGTGACCGAAAACAATTGAATACGTCAATCAATCCTAATTTATGTCATATACTAACATACCAAATCTCGTTTATTTATCTGAAAAAATAAAAAAGTTATAGGGGGTGAGCCACTTTTGAGCCGCACCCAGTATTTATAATTAATTTATTTTTGTTTCCTAAAATATTTTGATTAGAAGAAAATATGTAAAAGTGGGCATCTCTGTGCCGGTCAAGCTTAATCACTTGATTAAACACATTGATGGTTAATTGACCTATCATTTTGAAACAAGATATAAAAAGAACTCAATTATTCTATAATTATTCAGTTATCATAATTTAAATATTCTCCAGCCAAATATTCCTTCATTGCCTTTTACTTTTAACTTTTCTCTTTTTTGTTCCGTTCGACTGCTGCCAAAGTTCGGCCACACGAAAAACTTGGGTCAGGATCCGAAGTTTGGCCCATTAAATGCCGCCCTATTTAAGTTTGAATATTAATTACGCCTTTAAGTGGGTCTGATGGAGAGAAGTCGATGAGAGGACCCCATTAAAGCCGATAGTTATAATGCGAACTTAGTTTCCAGCTAGTGTGAACTAATGAGCTCCGTGTTTGTCCTAAGTACTTGGCGACTTAAGGGAGCAGTAAAAATTGATCTGACGGAAAGGCATTTGATTATAATTTGTTGGAAATGTGTGGCGTAGTTCAGATATTATCGGAGACTTTAATTTAATCTAGTGAAGTATCTAAATATAGGTTTAGAGTAAATGCATAATTATTTTTTAATATTTTTTATGTAAATTAAAATCTAAAAATGTTTTTTTTATTTACTATTTAAAAAGCCATCAAGGGAACCTTGTGAAGTTGAAGAAGTTATTTTTTTCTAATTACACATACAAATGTTTGAAAAATAATTTAAAGTAAAAATAATATAAAATAACTTTATTACGAAGTTTTTTAACAAGACCAACTTTAACGCAGTGGAATTTTGTAATAAATAACTTTTTAGATTTCTGTTTTAGTTGCAAAATGTATACACATTTTTTGTATCCTAGGTTGTATACCTACTTTTGAGATTACGTAGAAATGCGGTTCATCCGGAGACCCTAAGAACCTTGTTATTTTTCAGTGTGTATGTTTTCCTAAAATGCATGCGAAACCTATACACTGCTGGCAAACGAACATTAGCAATAGGAGGTTTTCAATGCGATAAAAAAAGATGGTAAGGCTGCAAAATACACTGCAGTGCAACAGAGACGGATAAAGTGTCTTTTCCCTACCATCGTATAGGGGAAGTGATCATAGAAGTGATACGAGGAGAGAGCCTCTGCGAGAGGGGGCACCGGGCGGGTCTTTAAGACGCTTGTGTGGGGGCTACCGCCTACTAATAGAATAGAATCGAAAAAATAGAAACAAAACGGACAGTGTTGCCATTCTATTAAATCGAAATTATGTTGGCTTATCCCAAATCCCAAATCTTCTAATTCCATTATCTTGCCTGCTTAATGAAATATTAAATCTGTGACAATTACTTGAAAGGTCATAAGTTTATTTTCTAAGTTTTCGGGAAAATGGCGTTAAAGTTTTGACTAGTTTAAGTTGGCTTTATTTTAAATTATTTTTATCTAAATTAAATGAGGTAAATTTTAATTCTCATATATTTGTAAATTTGAGAATGTATGCTAATTGAACTACATGGAAAATATCCACTTATATTAAAATATTACAAGATATGCCCTTTTAAGAAACAATAACCGTTTTCAATAAATGGTAAAAAGAGCATATGTCGATTTAATTGAAAATCGCATATCATTATAAAGGTGTAAGACGACTTAGCTAGGTAAACGGTTAAACATACCGGTTACTAGAATGGTTATAAGTCGATATATTTGTGATATACAGATATAATATTTTTACTAACAAAGGAATAAGTATACTTATCTTAGTATTCCTGTTAAGGGTGCGCATTATAAGGGTCATAAGTTTACATTTTCGATCGTTTACATCAAAATGAAAAAAATAATCAAATATTTTTTAAATTTTATTTCTGACTCAAAAAACAAAGAATGACAAAATAAATAAAATTCTATTACAGATAATAATACAATAAGAAAAAAACCCCAATGTATAACAAAGTCGGTTAGAAGAAAATAAAGCTATATTCTTTTTTTAATGTATTACTCAGATTCGTCATCGGAAATATACCTATCCACATCCGGGTCGGTATCCTTTTCGAGTCTTTTATCTACAGTCAAATCTCTGTAAAACGATTGCACATCCTTATCTAACAGACCAACAATTTCTAAGAGATTCTTTTTTTCAAAGAACTTATTGGTCGTGGACGATCGTATAATCTAGTCAGTTGAAAATTTTCTAAATGAGAAATGTTTTGATTTTTTCTAAAAAAACTAATTTCTTTAAACGGTTCCTCATCGAGCAAACTGTGTTTGTAAGCGGCTGTACTAGTTTTCGTGTATCTTAACCAGCTTACCTCCCTTAGTTTAAAATTAACTTTTTTTTGAAGTGGTCCCCTGGTATTTATATCAGAAAATGCATAAAAATGTTCAATTTCCATTGGATAAACAGAAAAATAGTTCTTTTTACTGGCATTTCTCACTAACTGGTACCAATCTCTGGGTACATGGATTTCAAAAGCAGTTTTCTTTTTTGCTCTTTCAATTACAGAATGATCGACGTCGCATTCTAAGTGAGTATGGCCAGGGATAAGAAATTTATGGTCTATTATTTTTAGAGTAGGATGTAAGTGAATTGAATATTGAAACATGGATATTACGTTAATATTTTTGTTCTGACCCCCACATGTATCAGAATAAAAAATTGCATGTTCTACTCCATTAGGTATATCTTTAGGAATCTATAGAGGCAAGAGGCTATTTCGTTTGCACCCTGCTGCCAGTACACTCAGGCCACATAAAATGGCTAGATTTGCCATTAATACAATTATGTACAGTTAAATTATAAGTTGAAAGCTGTCTTAAGTAAAACATTTTATTAGTAGTTAAAAAAGGTGTTGGTAGAACTTGCTGAAGGTCAAAAGCATAAGTTACGCAAGAATTATCTAGAAGGCCTTTTGTTTATCTATTTGTTTAGAGTTATATGCCTTGTCCGCCGCAATTTGGTGTTCTTCCAACTCCCTACGATATTGCATTTTTTTCATTTTCATGCTCTGCATATTTTTCTCGTGCGGCAAATGTATCACACTTTGTACATGTATCGTTTTTTGGTTTTAAACTTTAAATCTAAAGTATGAAATAGTCGAGAATATATGTTTAACGAAACAGGTTTTTCTCGATACTCCTCACAATACAATTTGTACATTATGTTGATATTTAACTCAGACGATAAATATTTTTATTACTGTGTCGTCTAGAGTAATGACTCTTATAAGCTGGAAATGAATTTATATGTTTTATTACCTCATCGATTTTATATTGAGGTGTTTTTATGAGGTGGTGCTGCTTTGCCTCTCAGATCTTCGTGTGTAATGCCGCTTATGGATGATAATTTATTTTGCATTGCACAAGTTATAAATTTTTCTGTTTCACCGAGTGTATTACAGAAACATGTTTTGCATACACTGTATTTCTTCACCGTGAATAATAAATTTATATTTATATGTGTTTATTCTATTCTTAGTGGGTCTTCCTTCTATTTTTTTCCTTGTTATATTTTTTTCTTGAATGCCTACTAGCCCTGCTATAAAGCCACCCTTCGATCGTGACTGCCCAACGACCAATATTATTCAAAATCGTATTTCTTATTTTATCACTAAGAACATTTTTACATTTATTCCTGCAATTATCTCTTAATGGCTTTAGAATCCTGGAAGGCACGGTTTTACCCCTTGCCGTTAAATACGTTTACCTAAGTTTCGGTTTGATTTTCGCTGTCTAACCTTTTTTACAGCATATGGTTTGATATTATTAGATTGACTATTACTACTCCTTATACTATCATCACTGTTACCACTAGCAATATAATCTGGATCTCGCTCTACATTATCATCAAGTTTGTGGTTGTTTACTTCAACTTCCATGCCTGGATTCTCTATTCCAATGCTTCCATCATGTGTAGTTACGTCTTTATCGTAATTTTCAAAGGTTGCCAAGGTTTTTATTTATATCGAGTTTCTTCGGGTTTTAAGATTGAATGTGTGTGTTCTATTTTCATCTGACAGTGTCTCTTTAGTTTCATCATCTCGTTTATTATCATGTTCACTCATTGAGTGCTCTGACTGAATATAATTTTCTTTTATTGTAGCATTGTGTTGTGCAATTTCGACACTTCACCACTAACTGTAAGGACTTCAATATCAATTTCATCCTTGTAACTGCCCGATGGATGATCATCTTGGATGTATATGTCTACAACATAATATATCTGAGAATTAGACACAATATTTTCTAAAAATATGCCATAATGGATAAATATGCCATAACTAGTTACTCAAAGAATAATTACCCTCTACCAGTTGTTCATCCATTTCTACAGATAAAAGGACAGAGCCATCATCACCAGGATTATCTAAGGAGTTGTAGGATGTATGGTATTCGTTAGATACAGGCTTAGAGACGGGTATTTCGTCAGCATTAATATCAGTTCTTTTTGCTAAAATATAATAAAAGGTGGTATAATTAAGGGGAACAAATTTTCTAAGTAAATCTTTAGCCAGGGCCAAAAGGCTTAAAAGTGACCGCCTGTATTTTTTTCTAAACCATAAATCTCACCTGGGATCTCTACTGAACAAGGTTCTGGTAGAGAAATCAAATTAAGGGTTTGTTCATCGACTGTGTGTTGAACAGAATGAGTTCCTATAATACAATAAGACGGTCGCTTTAGTTTTACAAAAATACGTTCGAAAAAAATTAAATTTGTCAGACTTACCAGATTCAAATGATAGGCGACGACATGCATCCATTATTCTTTGTGATCTCCCACCTCTATATTTCACCATTTTTTTTAAATATCAGATAATAGTATCAAAACAAATTAACGATTAAACTAGAGATGCAACAAAACAACAACTTAAAAATAAAGAGTAAGTTGAGGTTATGTTAAAAATGTAAAATGTCCCGTAAAATAAAATGACTACACAATAAAACGGATATAAGTAGATATAATATGGGGGTTTGGTTTAGTTAAAAGGTCATATGTGTATATAAAATTTAGATTCACTAAGCTTTAATAGGAAATGTAGACTTATATCCTTATAATTATATATTTTCCTTTTACAATATTTAGAAAATAGTAATATATTGACTTATACCTTAGTATTTTATTAAGTATTAGGATACATACACTTATGCCGGTTTTATCGAGAAAAAATAAAATCTAATGCAAATATATTTACTTATAGCCCTTTAATGAAACTTAATCAAGTGCATTCCTAAAATACCCAATATTTACATTCATTTTTCGCTTATTTCGGACGTAAATCTACATATGCCGTTTTTACCACTAAATCTATGGTACATTTTCTATATGAATGTAGTCAAATGTTAAAACTCAAAAAAAATGACTTATGACCTTTTAACTAATTGCCACAGAAATAAAGTACGAAACAATTTTAAGAATGTTTTCTCTAGGCACATAACTTCTTTCTAAAAAGAAAAGTAACATGCAAAACTTTGAAATCATTTCTAAAATAGCAAGTGCATTTCTATGAAATGGCAATACTGTACGATCTTCCTAGCAGTCGCCCTGACACCGTCGGTCGGCGGCGCCGGTGACAAAGGAATTAGGCCGAAAAAACTTTATAAGGAGTAGCCGAACAGGGTTGCCGGGTTTGTTAGATTATAATTCCATACGAGAACAAAATTCTCGGTAGATCTTCAACAAAAATCAAAAGTACAGAAACAAAATAAAATATAATATTTAAGTCCAAAATTAGCATTCCTATGTGTCGTAATACTATATCACTCAAATAAAATACAAATATAATAAACATAACAAGAATTAGAAATAGCTAGGTATATTATTTGATATTAAAAAAAAAATTGAATTAAATAATATTAATATATTAATAACAACATATAAAACTATAACAAGTAGGGATAGCAGTCACAAATTAGTGTAGCAGTCACTTTTTACCTTTGTACAAATTTTGATCAGTGATATCTACAATTAATTTCATTTCAATGGGAAAAATTTCTGTAGCAACTCTCAACTCTTTTCATATTAATATATTTTTTTGACAGGAAAATCACTAAAATATTTGTCCGAATTTAGGTTGTTTCTTAACTTAAATTTTGTTTTTTGTTTACATTTTTTTGGGGAAAATATGGATTCAACTTTAGTAGATGAATGAAACAAAATCTTTTCAAAAGATATCAACTTCTTCGGGCATGTCGCCAATACCGCGCCTAATAAGGAGTAATAAGGATTTTTAGGAATATCTCTGTAACTCTGCAGCTAGACAGAACGATGACCTGTATGTGTGTTATTACTAAATAAAATTTAATGAAACAATAATAAAGTCAGATTATACAGATTCCAACGCGGCAGTCGCTTAATTTTTAGTCAAATAAGTCAGCTTTTTAAAAGTGCTTCTATTGTAAAAACTGAAGACGCAGTTCAACATATCGTTAGATTTTTCTTTAAATCGGTAGATCGGTAGCTTACAGACGAAACCGGTAGACCTGGCAACCCTGTGATGAACTGACGGGAGACGGAATAGCGAGTTGCGGTGGCGCGGGAAGAGAAATAAAATAATGGCGATAAATAAAGGGCAGGGGGATGGGTATCATGAGTGGATGGGAGGTGGCGGAATTTCCAAAATTTGTTATCTTATTGGAGTTTGTCTAAGTAGACAGTCGTAGTGGAAGTGGAAACGGAGAAGTTGTTGTCCATCTCTGTTTAAGCATAGACTTTTTATAGGCGTTTCATTCCAATGTATGTAATTCCTATGCCTAGAGATCAATTGCCGGGCCTGTATATATGGACATATGCACGCGAAACCTGGACACTTAAAATGGGCATTATAAGGAAACTACAGGTCGTACAACGCTCAGTAGAACAAAATAGGTATGATGGGATAACCAAGAGAGTCCGTAAAAGAAGAGTATAGGACAAAATACCCAGGTGATAGATGTCCATCCGCAGAATAAAATCCCTCAAGTGGCAATGGGCAGGACACGTGGCAAAAAGGACGGACAACAGATGGGCCACAAAAATTACAGCATGGTACCCACGAGGAATTACGAGACCTAGAGGAAAACCAAACCTGAGATGGAACCATGATATTAGGAAATTTGCAGGGATAACTTGTGCCCGCATAGCCAACAATTGACAACAATGGGCCCAACTACAAAGATATTTATGTCAACAAATATATGAGAGAAGCTGCACCAAAATTTGAAATAGTTGCATAACCCATCGTTAACTTTTTAATAAGCAAATTACAATTTGCTTTATGGACCTGGATTTAGTCACTATTCAATACCCTTCATACCAGACAATAATTTGTGATATAAAAGTCGTAGCATACCATTTGATTTTTTTGAGAAATCAGCGTTATTTCAATGATTTTGAAGCAACGCCATCTAGTGGCTGCTTACAAAGTCATTACCGTGCAATTTTTTCGACACTAGTCCAAGTTGGTTAACATCGGTTCATCTAGAGTAAGGTTTCAACACTTCAATAAAAAAAATATTTAAATAATACAGTATAAGCACTGTATTGTTTAACTAATTACGCATTTTATTACTTCATACCATTTTGAACAAGTAAATAACTCAGTTACGAAAATCTAAACATAAATTAACATTTTCGATTTTGTGTTGATGTTACGCTTCCTACCAAAAGTAATACTCCGAAATAATGGACCTAGCCCTGCATCTTTCAAGCAGAAATTTACCGTATCAAAATATGAGTACAACTTATTCTAAATAGGAACTATTGTATCAAGGAATAGCCATCCTATCCGATAGTCAAGCAGCCTTAACAACGATTGACTCAACCATCAATTAGAAGTTGGTCAGAGAATGTCTAGAGAAGCTATATAAATTAGGCAAAGAAAATATAGTCCTCTTATTATCTGGAGAGATCTGAAAGAATAAAGTCACTCCCCGGCAAGAGATGTAAGGTAATGAAAAAGAAACGATCTTTTTAGAGAAGGAGCGAACACTCCACTAACTGGATCAGAATCGTTCCGTTTCCCAAGTGGAAACCAATTTAAAGTGGAACTGAAGAACCTGTAATCCGTAACGTGAAGTGGGAATTCTCCAATGGTATAAGACACTCAAAAATATTTCACTAGGATCTACCACCGAGAAAAATCAAAGATTTTCTTAACTTAAGCAAGAACAACAATCTTCGTATTATCACGGGGTTTTAACAGGTACAGGGTCTAGGCAATGAAAATCTCGGTAGAGTAAAGCTAAAACACAATGAGGCAACACCAGAATACCTCATCACTGAGTGCGCCGAGACGATAACTATTCGCACCCTAAACTTTGGTACGACTTATATCGGAGATGAAGAACTAACCTCTGTAATACATTTTCAAATACTTTTAGTCAAACCCTTGAGACCGTAAGATGTGTTATAACTCAAGTAAAGGTGGTACAATAGAACTATAAGGTCCCGGTGATTAACTACCCGCCTCTTATACACTCTACAATCTAAGCCTTCTAGCATCCAAATTTTGAAATAGAAAATTTTCACAGCGATTTCTATTTTTGCCAGGTTTGCCATAAACACTTATTTCGATTCGAAAAAATTACTTTATTATTGTGATACCTTGTATACCGATGAACGAGAAATATGTTTTTATGTAAATTTGTAACTGAAACATTATTTAAAACAAGCATCCTTTATTCCCGAAATAACGAAACAAACCGGTACCATATAAGCCTTCAAATGACTACTCCGGAACACGACGGCGGCGTCGACGTCGCTTCATTAAAACAGGGAGAACAGAAAAAAGCACGCAGTTCGAATATTTCAAATGGGCCTTCACAACGAGACCTCCCACTCGAAAATAATTAGTCGAGAGTCCTCTCTTGGCAGAAGACCGGCCCCGGAATGACTTCAATTAATTCAAGAATCCAATTTGGCCCTAATTGGTGTTATAATTGAAATACTCGCATCGAGAAGGCCGTCAAAAAATTACGATCGTCGTGCGGAAATAGCTGGTCTGCGGACACAAGTTTTGTTGGGTAATTAATGTAATTAATTGAACTTATTGGATTAGAACCACGTGTTGTAACAAGGACTAAAGAGAAGAAGAGAAAAGAGAACATGAGGAATAAGTGTCTGTACTTAACAGTGTATCGTGTTTGTACTGAAATATCTATATAATTAATATTACTTGTATATTAAGCTTATTGGAAATTTTGTGTAAAATTATATTATGTAGTAAGTGTTCTCAAGAGCTTCGTAACAGCCAATACAGAATTACCCCAGTCCGAAATGAGCATTTGTAATATCAATTATGAAATGACTGTACCTACGATTACTTTAACTCCTCACAGACCAGCATACATATTATGTGACATTTATGTATGAGAGTCACACATTCACTAACAGAATTCTATGTTGTGCCTATGCCATAGGCGTTTGTTAAACCAGTAGGCATCTGACTAACACAGTAACTGATCAATTCTGACAACAGACTTCTGACTTCGGTAAAATCAAAAAACTAACTCCACATTCTCATAGCCACTTTATTAGGGCTATCTGATAGTATTTTTACATTTTCAAATTAGCTGATAATTTGCGAGATACAGAGGCCAACTTAATTTGTTTATTTTTGTTATTTTTTTTGGCCATTATACTGCTCTACCATTTACAATCCATCTTTTGGAGAAAGGATTTGATTGTTTATATTATATTATAAAATAGAAAACAAATTTCTTGCAGTATAGATATATAATAAAATTATATAAGGATTCTTGTCAATTAACTGCTTTTATAGAAATTTAATTCTACGCTGTGTTTGTCATAATGTGGATCAACCTGCTCTCACTACCGGTTTCGGAGCCCTACTCCATCATCAGGTGAGCTTGGGCAGATCCACACAATGACAACCACAGC